CATCTTTTATACAGTCCATTTAGAAATGGCGGCCTGTCACTCCTAAATGAATGTAGAGGAAACAGTGACACTCGACAGCTACAAGCAGCGTCTGACTCTTCTGTGATGCATACATACAGTACAACCTGAGATTGATCTGTATTAAATGAGCCACACAAAATGGCAAAACCTACACACTGAATGTAATTTCATCTCAACGTAATTCAAGAATGCAACCTGTTTTAATGCACAGCATTAAAAATAAAGGGTCACTAAAAAATGTCACTCACCAGTGTTGTTCATTACATGAATAGAAAGGACACACGTCGATCTTTCATCGACATGAAGCCGTCGTTAAAGAATCTACGGTATAACTGTGACGAGTAAATAACATCGTTGTAAACTGGGGTTTCAGAGTAACTGATTAAAAGGATAATAAATGAATAGAATGTGATTTATCTTCCAGGGCCAGATGACACAATAGTGGCTGTTACAGAAGGAAGTGACGCCATCTTGGGATGTTCGCTGGACCCTCCCAAGAGTCTCGACCAAGACCTGTTTGACTGGATCAAGGATGAGAAGACGGACGTTAAGAAGGAAGTGTTCATGTATAGTAACGGCAGTCATGACAACAACGGCCTGTCTGGTCAAGACAAACAGTTTCAAGGACGAGTCTCGCATTTTCCAGACCAACTGATAAATGGCAACGCCTCCATAATCATCCGAAACACAACGATCGAAGATGCTGGAGACTACACCTGTCTTTTTCTACTTCCTCAGGGACAGGAACAAAAATGCAACATTAAGCTTGTTGTTGGTGAGTATTTAAAACAGTTCTCTCAATACTGTAAATTCTCATATAAAAGCTGGTGTTGAGATGATGGCAGTCTGAAATAACAGCTGTGAGGGAGCACTACGCCTGATTCCCTGAGCCTCTCAGGTAACTACAGGTCACTATTAGAGAATTTACGGCATTTTTTGTTGTTGTTGTCTGTGATTTGTAGGGATTTTTTGTATTCCATCTGTTTATTCTTATCCACTGACAATCAGTATCACCTTTAAAAGAAAAGCTTCAGTAAATATCTGAAATTTAATTCTGACTATTGGGAATCACATGCAGTCGTCACATTGTCAGTGACCACTTGTTTTATTTTATACATAAATCTCTGTCTGAACATGCACAGTTGCTGTAAATCCATTAGATTAGATGTGGACATCAAATCTGGTTTGAAAGCAGAACCGAACCTAAGAACACTTTAAGGATACGAGCCTGTTGATACTGTGTATTTTTCCTAAACCAGCCAACAGCAGCCACTAACAAGTCCTGCCTTTGTATTTAAAACCAGATAAATGTTTTTTCTCTGTGCCAAAGAGCTTCGTTGTTGAAAGTCTGATTAGATTTTTGGAGAACCTTTCTGCATGAACTTGTATAGTACTGAGGCACAACTTCAGCATTCCTCACAGTAAGCTACAAGCGCTGTGAGCTTTTGTCATAGAGGTCACAGCCGTTTGTTGAGTTACTCGTGCTTCATTACTCAAGTACAAGGCCACTAAGTGCTGTGCAGAAGTTAATTAACAATTTGCTTTGCAGAGCCGACGTTTAGGGACCGATCAGGAGAAATCTCAGGTGAGTCTTAATTGAGTTTCTGTAGCTATAAGGTTCCAGGCTACACGGAGGAAATATTTGAAACCTTTTTATCCTATTTAAAAATAAAAACCTGTTAAGAATCATCACTACAGACGTAAGGCAGGACCTGTGACAGTAAATAATAATGCATGTTGTGATATTACAAAATTCAATAACTTGGAAATAAAATTTCATGCTAAAATGTGTTTGTCCAGTAAATATTTTTTTAGATCTGCAGCTCTTTATGTAAAACAACAACTGGATAAATTTGCAATGAGTCCTGATTTTGAAAGATGCCACTGATGATTGGTGATTCTAAATTGTCTGTAGGTGTGAATGTGAGTGTGGTTGTCTGTCTCGAAGTGTAGCCCTGTGATAGACTGGTGACCTGTCCAGGTGTCCCCTGCCTTCACTCTGAGTCAGCTGTGATAGACTCCATGACCCCAGTGAGGATTAAGCGGTGTATAGATAATGGATGGATGGATGACGCCCAGTTGTAGCAGACACCTCAGAGGGTCGTTGAGTGTAATATGTTAAACTTCCATCTTAGGAAACAAGGTTGGAGACCTAACTTTTATCTGTCAAGTGACTGCTGATGGTGTCTGATAAATGAAAAGTTGTTAATCCATCATTCCATTAGTTTTATAGTAAAGGTTTAGAGCAGTAAAAAGTGTGCAGACAAGTTCATGTGGACTGTTGCAGAGGATCTGTTTGTGCCTTTTTATAATGACAACAGACAGAAGTTCTTTTTAACCAGACGTGTTGTCCTGTGCTCTTCTTCATGTGTTCACAGGCGTCGCTCACAAGCCTTACGTTTCAGTATGTAATGTCTCAGAGTCCGGGGTTCAGCTGAAGTGTGAGGTCGAAGGTGCTTTTCCACAGCCGGAGGTGCAGTGGCTGGACAGTGATGGAACCGTCCTTTCTGCTGAGGATCCTGAGGTCGTAGAAAGAGGAGGTCGCTTCGACATCACCCTCCAAACTACTGTGATCGCCACCGACGGCAACTGCTTCCGCTGCGTGGTGAAGCAGCAGCACTTCCACCATGAGATTGGCTATAATATCACCGTGCCTGGTGAGATCCGCTGTGGTGGATGTGGACATGTTTTTATATGTTGGTGTGACTGTAGGAGCATGGACTCCCTGGTTTTCTTTGAGTCGGTTTAATCAGTCTGCTGTTATTGATCTATGTATGTTTACATTCTTACGCCAGCTTTTTGTGATGTCTTTCAGAGAAACTGTTTGAGAAAACACCCAGAGAAGTGGACCCTGGATCTTGCTCAGGCAGAATGGTTTTGGTTGCTTTCATTGGAGTTTTTCTTGGAGGTCTACTTCTTGCTGCAGGTCTAGCTTTACTTGTGGCTACAAACCGCATGACAGTACGCCTGAATGCAGGTAAGTCCAAATATTTGTCTGAACATATTCAGTGTGTTCAGACACTAATATGACAGATATTCTTTAGCTGTTTCATGTCCAGAGTCATGTTCACTTTGAGGGATGAGGAGGCTGATGCACTTATGTTCAGTATGAAGCTGGACCCAGAACGTGTTCAGTTTAGTGTAAAAACACAAAGTCAGTGCAGGTTGTCATGCTAAGGCTAGGCTCAACAAATCCTTACTCCAGCTTTCTTCTTGATGTGCAGACATTAGGTTGATATTAATCTTCTCCTGCAACTCTTGGGAGGAAATCAAACCTGCACGTTCCTTAAACACTCAGATGATGACTGTGTTACTGCAAAAGTGAAGGCTAGTCATCGTTAGTAGATGGCTGTCAGCACGTCACAAGTTTGGAGAAGTTAATTGATGTAATTACTGTTAACGGGGTCAGCAGTAAAACGGATTTTAGCCATCTACAAAAAAACACTCAGTTTAAGTGTATATTACCTTATATTGTGTGTTTGTCCAGGCCTAA